CACCCATTTCAGCCATGGGACTTTTTTCATGATATTAATGTAAAGATGTTTGTGTTACTGTTTATAAATTACAATTGTAAATAAATTAATACAGTTTGCTCAAAACTTTGTTCTTAAGGACAATGTCTCTCTTTCCTTCTTTTTCCCTATTTGTAAATCTCTTAAGGCCACAAAATGAGAGAATCGAAGGCTATTCTTGAAGTAGAATTTAAGTGCTCACATTTCAGGATTATAAGTATTTCTTTTCATCTAGATGTGGAGGCGTAAAGTAGTCGTTTAAACTAGTTTTAAGCAAATGACACTACATTTTACATGTAGTAAATTGCCTACGACCGTGAGCTACACAGTTAAAGGATTATTTATGACTATTAAGTGAAAATAAATTTCATGGAATGTTCTAGGCACCTGTGTAGCTCCTCCACTCTTCACTGGCCCAGTGACCACAGAATCTACAAGAAACTCAAATTAGCAAGAAAAAAACAATCACATCAGAAAGTGCACTAAGGTTATGAATAAACAGTTCCCAGAAGGTATACAAACGGCCAACAAACATGAAAAACTATTCAGCGTCACTAATGATTAGGGAGATGCAAATAAAAACCACAATGTGATGCCATCTTACTCCTGCCAAGAATGGCCATAGTAAACAATAGTAGATCCTGGCGTGAATGCTGTGAAGAGGGAATGCTTGTACAGTGCTGGTGGGAAGGTAAACTAGGACAAGCACTATGGAAAACAGTGTGGAGATTCCTTACAGAACTAAAAGTAGAACTACCGTTTGATCCAGCAATCCCGCTACTGGGTATCTAACCAGAGGAAAAGACGAAAAATACTTCATCTTTTTAATGATGAAAACAATACTTGCACACGCATGTTTATAGCAGCACAATTTGTAATTCCAAAATTGTGGAACCAACCGAAGTGCCCATCAATCAACAAGTGGAGAAAGAAACCTTTTCCAAGCACAGTCTCTGACTCCCATAGCCTTGTTTTTTGTTATAATGCCAGGTGTGTTAGGCCTTGGGGGCAGGCCTCAGGAAACAGAATCTCTTTGGCCTTTTCCTGCTCTCCTTTCACCTGCCCCAAGGCAGGACTCTAATCTTGGTGATTGTGGGTCTTAAAACTCTCCTGAGAGCTCCTGCCCTATCCCTTGGAGGAAGGAATGCTGATATCATAAAGTTCCCATAAAAGCCCAAGAGGGACTGGGTTTGGAGAGTTCCTGGATAGCTGACCACGTGGAGGTTCTGGAGGGTGGTGTGCCTAGGAAGGCATGGAAGCTTCGTGCCCCTCCTCCCATACATCGCCCCACACATCTCTTCATCTGTAGCCTTTGCAACATCCATCATGATAAACCAGGAAATACGTTTTCCTGACTTCTGTGAGCTGCTCCAGCAGATTATTCATACCCAAAGAGGGGGTCGTGGCAATCCCAACTTGAAAGTGGGGTCAGAAGTCCTGGAGTCCAAGACACATGACTGGTTCTTGGTGTGTCTTGCTCAGGTAGATAGTGTTGGAATTGAATTGAAGGATACCCAGCTGGTGTCCTCTGCTTGGTGACAGAAAGGAACCCCCTCACCATTTGGTCACAGGATTCTTGTGTTGATGACTGTTGCGGCGGTGATGTAACAGCAGAATAAAAACACGAAGTTTTCCTGGAACACATATCCACCTCACCCACCAAAACTGAGCTCATGTTCCCCCAGGCTCACCTCATACTATGAAGCGGCAGCTGGAGGAATGCTGATGGAAAGGAGAGACCAGTTAGCAGGTGCCTGTTGCAGTCTCCCCAAGGTGAGGAAGGCCTACCTGTGGATGGTGGTGGTGGGAACCGAAAGGAGGAATTGAGGACATCTCATGAGAGTAAGAAGAGCCCTGTCCCTACCAGAGGCGGAGGATGAAAGACCTGAAAGCCATTGAAGTGACTTAGATTTTCTTGGAGGGTTGGAAAGCAGGGAGAAGTAGAAAACTGGGCATAAATTGTGGTCCCTTTTTAAGTGCTGGGTGGAGAGGCTTCTTTGGAAGCAATACATTTAGTTTCACATAATTGACTTTGAACTGATGTTAAGACAGGTAAGTAGAGATGGTGGCAGCTGGAAATGTTGAAATAGCTCTCTGGAGTAAAAATAAAAATTCTCACTAGTACCAGCCTGGAAACGGTCATTAAGGTTGTGTGAGACATGGGTAGAAAAGAGAATAGAGACTGAAAAGGCACACAGATTTGTAGCTGGGCTTTCAAGATCCATTTAGCCTGGTAGGTTTTTTTTGTTTTTTTTTTTTTTTTTGTAGAGATGGAGTGTCTCCATGTTGGTCAGGCTGGTCTCGAACTCCTGACCTCAGATGATCCGCCCACTTTGGCCTCCCAGAGTGCTGGGATTACAGGGATGAGCCACCACGCCTGGCAGGCCCTTTTTTTCTTTGCCTATTTTCATATGTCAGATGAAGGGAACATGGGAACGAAGGCAGAGCTGCTGCAAAGAAGGGCGAGTGAGCGGAGTGGTGGCAGGGAGGGCTTGCCTCTAAATCCCTTTCCATATCGGTGAGAAAAAGGTCCTAAGGGTGAGGTGATTTGCCCTAGGTGTTAACATCCAGTCAGTGGCAGAGCCAGAACCAGAACCAGAACCAGAACCAGAACCGAGCGACTAGCTTTTCCATTATGCCCAGAAAGTTCTAAAGAAAGGTTTTAAAGACGCACTTTCACGTAGCTTTTCCTTCTTCAGGAACACTCCTAGCACCCAAGTTAGCAGTTTCCCCGCGTGTGACAGAGGGACACAGTACCCCTATGGGTCTCAGACGGCCTTCTCCTGGTCCTGCTTCCTTCATGGCTCCTTCCCCGGCCCCACAGGCCCTCCTTCTGCAGGCGCCTTTCACGTCCGCTTGTGTGTTGTCATGCAAACTCAGAGCTTCCTCTTAGTTAAAACTGCTGATGATTCCTAAGTCAATTTCCGGCCATACAGCTTCTGAGCTGGAGGCTTTGGTCCAGTTGCCTACTGGGCTTCTGCACCTGGGTGCCATGGCTCACGCCTGTAATACCAACACTATGGGAGGCCAGGGTGGGAGGATCACTTGAGCCCATGAGTTTGAGACCAGCCTGGGCAACATTGCAACTCCATTTCTAAAAAAATGAAACAATTTGCATTTTGAACAAGAACTTCAAATAATATTTCCAGTCCGGTTTAGGACCACTTTTAGATACAATGCTATGCCAATAAACTTGGAAATCCAGATGATTCTTTTTTACAGGTTGTAAGCGACCAAAGGTTGACCCTGAAGCCTTCTAGGTTAATAAGCATAACAGAAACTGATAGGTTTTTGTTGTTGTTGTTGTTGTTTGAGACGGAGTTTCGCTCTTGTTAACCCAGGCTGGAGCGCAATGACGCGATCTCGGCTCACCGCAACCTCCGCCTCCTGGGTTCAAGCAATTCTCCTGCCTCAGCCTCCCGAGTAGCTGGGATTACAGGCACGCACCACCATGCCCAGCTAATTTTTTTTTTGTATTTTTAGTTGAGACGGGGTTTCACCGTTTTGACCAGGATGGTCTCGATCTCTTGACCTCGTGATCCACCCGCCTCGGCCTCCCAAAGTGCTGGGATTATAGGCGTGAGCCACCGCGCGCGGCCTAGAAATGGAAAGGTTTTTAAAGATCTTCCCGCTACAAAGCCAAGTCCCGATAGTCTCTTAAGCTGCAGAAAGCTCCTAACTGCTACATATTTTCCTCCAACTTTTTGTTACAAAAGCTTAAAAATCTAGTACCATGAACAGCTGTGTGCCCCTCTAACATTATTAAATGTTAAATTTAATCATTAACATTTCTGCCATATTTGCTTTTATCTGTATGTATTTTCTTTTTCCTGACAAGTTTCAAGCCAAACATTCCGACAGTTCATCCCTCATCATTTTCTAAGAGTGAAGACAGACACTGGCACAATCACAATACTATAGCACACGAAATAATTCATGAAAGCATCCAATATCTCATTCACATTTAAATATCCTTAATTGCCCCCAAAATGTTTTCATAGTGCTCTTTTACAAACCAGGATCTGTTTCAGTGTAATCTAAACTATTCTGGCGCATTCCAAAAGGTGGTAAGCTTTGGATTTTTGTTCCACAAGTCTGACAAGGCACAAAAACACAAAACACAAAAATTAAAACGCAATCTAGTAAATAAAAAGGCAGAAATCTTAAGTCTGTTAGGCTGGGCGCAACAGGTCACGCCTACAGTCCCAGCCCTTTGGGAGGCTAAGAGGGTCGCTTGAGCTCAGGTGTTTGAGACCAGCCTGGGCAGCACAGCAGGAACCTATCTCTACCTAAAGTAAAAAACTTAAAAAAGAACGAACTAGCCGGGCGCGGTGGCGCGTGCCTGTAGTCCCCGCTCCTCGGGAGGCGGAGGTGCGAGGATCGCCGGAGCCCGGGAGAGCCAGGCCGCAGGGAGCCGAGGCTGCTGCACTGCACTGCGGGCTGCGTGGATGAGCGCGTCCCTGTCTCACACCAACAGATCCCGAAGGAGTATCCGCAGAGACGACAGCGCGCTCGAGGGCGGACTTGCGGAGGGCATCCTTCCCGCGGGCCTGGCAGCCTTGTAGCCAGACCCCACCGACGTCTCGCGCGCCTACACCGACCAGGTCGTGCCGCCCCCGCCACCGCGACGGGCTCAGACAGCTCAAGCCCGGCAGCGTGCGGCGTCACCCCGGCCACAGGGCCGATTCAAGCAGCTCCCGGTTCAGTCTTTCTCGGAGAAACGGCGAACGCTACAGATCAGGGCTTTCCTCCCTGAGAAGTCTGGTCGCTAAACATTCAGCAGCACACCGCCCCGACGGAGGCCGTCCCCGTCGGCCCTTTGCCTTTCGAAGCATGCTCGCTCCGCGTGTCTCCACGGCCCGTCCTGCCGTTCCAGGCGCGCTGCCATGAACGCAGACCCCGCGCCTCGGAGCCGGAAGGGGCGGGGCCTCGGACGCCAGCCCCGCCCACCGCCGCGCCGCCGCGCTCCGCCCGGACGCCAGCGCTCAGCCCGGACGCCAGCGCTCAGCCCGCGCCGCGCGGGGTGCCTGTCGGGACAGCCATGGCTAGTAAGTGGCGCGGCCGCGCGCGGCCTTTCCTGACGCCGGCGTCCGCGTGGGTCCGCCATCGCGTGGCGGGGCGGCCGGGCGCGCTCCGGGGGTTCCACGCTTCCGGGCCGGGGGGCGAGGCCCCGAGAGCACCAGGCCGCCCGGGCCGCGCCGCGCCCCGCGTGAAGACGCTGACGGCACGTGGGGTCTGGCGCGTGCGGGCCGCGGCGGGGATCGGACGCCCCGGGTGTCCTGCAGCCGCGTGGGCTCCCCCGGCCCCGCCCTGCGCGGCCGTGCCCAGGCGGCCCCGCCCCGCCCCTCTCCGCGTTCCCGCGCCGGCTTTGACTCGGAGTCTTGCGGTGTCCCCGACTCGGCCTGTGACTCCGCGCGGCTTTCCCGCGAGTCCTCTGTGTCTTCGTCTGTGCGCCGGTGCGCGTGGCGCCTCGCGGAAGTCGGCGTGCGCAGGGCCGGCGCGTTGCTGTCAGTGTCGCTGCGTGGTGGCCCCTTCGCTCACCGCACTGACTTCGTTTCCCCGTCTCGTGAGGCCTCCGTTGGTGGAGGATGGTGACTGTTCGGGCAGCCCCAGAAGACGCGGAGTCTGCGCGGTCGGGCTGGAGTCCGCACGCGGCGCTCTGGGCGGCGGGGGGTCCCGGCCGCAGCGCGTCTGCAGGGGGGTCCCGTGCGGAGGGCAGGCGGCCCCAGGCCTGCTCGGGGACCCCGCCCGGGTGAGCGCGGTGTGCAGGGGAGGCAGACGCAGGGCCGGGCGCGGGGCTCCTGCCTGTGATCCCAGCACCTTCCGAGGCCGAGCAGGGCGATCGCTGGAGCTCGTTGGGAGTCGGAGCTGGAGAGCAGCCTGGGCAGCGCGGTGACACCTGTCTGTACTAAAAATAAGTAAATGAGCCCGGCTTGGCGGCACACCCCGCAGGCTCAGCTACTTGGGAAGCTGAGGAGGGAGAAGAGCGGAACCCCGGGAAATGGAGGGGAGACATTCAGTGGATTTGTGTGCTGTTCTGGTAACAGATTATTCTGTTTGCCCCAGAATAATCTCAGCTTTATTTCCTGTTTGAGTTTTCACTGTTTCCCTTCAGATTCTGTAACTTTTTTTTTTTTTTTTTGAGATGGGGTCTTGCTCTTGTTAACCAGGCTGGAGTGCAATGGCGCGACCTCGGTTCACTGCAACCTTCGCCTCCTGGGTTCAGGGTATTCCCCTCCCTCAGCCTGCCGTGTACCTGGGACTACAGGAGCCTTACACCACGCCCAGCTACTTTTGTATTTTTAGTACTGATGGGGTTTCACTGTGTTAGCCAGGATGGTCTGGATCTCCTGACTTGTGATCGGCCTGCCTCGGCCTCCCAGAATGTTGGGTTTACAGGTGTGAGTCACTGCGCCTGGCCCCAGATTTTGTAACTATTTAGCAGGCTGCATGTAGTGTTGAATTTAGCTCTTCTCACTATATTTAGGATAGACCAAGGAATGGGACATCTGAGTTTTCCTACTTTTAGTTAACCTTGAGCCAAACAGGCCTTCATCAGAGGCTGAGGTTTGTCATTGTTGCCTCTTCTGGAGACATTTACATTGTTACAGGAAAATACGCAAAGAGATAGCTCTTTAGTGGTAGGATTTTCAGACTCTGGAGCAGGTAAGATGCGGAGTTAGGGCAGGCCATTACTAATAATTCCTGAAGTTTTGCCTGGCTTCATAGGTTAGGATGTGCTTTAGATCCATTACTGTGGCATCCCCTCAGACTATGAGTAGGAACTATATATCCGTCAGAGTCTAGGCAGGACATGGAAACCATGCTTGTAACTCGAACAAGGAAAAAAGAATACTTTTTTTTTGAGATGGAGTTTCTGTCGTCCAGGCTGGATTGCAGTGACGCAATCTTCACTCACTGTAACATCCACCTTCCAGGTTAAAGCGATTCTTCTGCCTCAGCTCCCGAGTAGCTGGGATTACAGGTGCCTGCCACCACGCCTGGCTAATTTTTGTTATTTTTAGTAGAGACGGGGTTTTACCATGTTGGCCAGGCTGGTCTCAAACTCCTGACCTCAGGTGATCCACCTGCCTTGGCCTCCTAAAGTGCTGGGATTACAGGCGTGAGCCACCACACCCAGTGGAAAATGTTATGTAAAGAATTATCTGGCCAGGATGGTGGCTCATGCTTGTAATCCCAGCAGTTTGGGAGGCTGAGGCAGGAGGATTGCTTGAGCCCAGGAGTTCAAGACCAGGCTGGGCAACAAAGTGAGACCCTGTCTCTACAAAACAATTAAAAAATCAGCCAGACGTAGTGGTACGTACGTGTGGTCCCAGTTACACAGGAGTCTGAGACAAAAGGAACCCTGGAACCCAGGAGGTTCGCCTGAACCCAGGAGGTTGAGGCTGCAGTGAACCATGTTTGTGCCACTGCACTCTAGCCTAGCTGACAGAGCAAGACTCAGCCTCAAAATTTAAAATATTAGCTAATGAAAAGTAATTATCATAAAAGCTAAAAGGGAACTCTGAAGAATAGAGGAAAAGCAAATGTAATGTATAGCTACTACCTCCAACAAGGAGTAAACTTGGAGGAGCATCCAGCCTCCTTGCTCCAGGGCTGAGCACAGACCTTGTCGGGGTGGCTGCATAATTTGCGGGGCCCAGTTCCCTTGTTCAGATAGCAAGACGAAAGTACTATTAGCTTTTCCTTCTGCAATATCTCTCTCAACCTCTCATGGTGTTCTTTGCTGTTTAATGTCATCTTCTCTTGGACACAGGAATATTTATGGGATGAGGACCCCTATCCTGTGACTAGGCATGTGTGCCTGGGACTCTTATGCTGTGACTGGGCATGTGTGCAGCCCAGTGGCTGCCACGTTTCCCCTCTGCCAGCAGTGGGACCAATGTGCTGTGACCCAGCCAGTAGTGGGGAGACTGAGGCAGATATCTTCCCTTCCCATGAGCTGGCTGCCCCAATTCACAGTATGTGAGCAGCTTCCAAGGGATTGCACAAACTTCCAAGGGATTGCACAGACTTCCAAGGGATTGCACTTTGTGTACTGGGCATACTCAGTATATGGATTGGAGGTAGGCGGGAGGCCCAAGAACAAATAGTAAGGGGCGGGACATATTCAAACCTAGTCTTTTTACTTTAGGCTGTATTCTCATTTCATTTCCTACACTGCAGTAAGAAGCTGGTTCACTCTAGATTCTTGTGCCTCCATGGGACTTTGCCTGTGGATATTGCTCTATCTCAAGATGGACTTTAGCACTCTGGACATTCTGGACAGGATCATGCTTTGTTGTGTTGTGGAGGGGCCTGTCCTATGTATTATAGGTTGTTCGGCAGCATCCTTGGCCTCTATTCATTAGATGCCACCATACCTCATCAATTGGGGCATCAAAGGTATCTTCAGACATTGTCAGATGTCCCCTAGAGGACATAATTGCCTTCATTTGAGAACCATGGCTCTGTCTGAATTCAGCAGTTCGATCTTCTGACAGCTGTTTTCTTTTGTCTTTGTCCTCAGCTTTCCGCTTGGCCCTCATCCAGCTTCACATTTCTTCCATCAAATCAGAAAACGTCACTCGAGCCTGTAGCCTCATCCGGGAGGCAGCAGCGCAAGGAGCCAAAATCGTTTCTTTGCCGGTCAGTACGGAGGCAGCCATCCCGTTCTGGCCACTGCAGACCCAACAGAACGGTGTTTGCTAGCTCCGCTTGTCCTCTTGTGCCCTGGGGTGCAGCAGTGTCCCTTGGAGCCTTTATTAGATTGTTCTGTGTTTGACTGCAGGATGACCTCAGCAGGGTTCTTTGTGAGGTAGGATGTGCCAATATAGTCAGAGGTCTTTAATTTTGGATTTTCCTCTTTGTTCAGATGAGGAAGCCAAAATCCTAGTATATTGAGGGACTTATGGGAAACTAAAATATTCAGTGTTTGTATACTTTGTTCCTTATATAATTAAGTCTTTATAGGACCAGAACATGTTGGCTTTATCACTAAGCCTCCAGCATTTATTTTTTTAATGAGCTTTGGGAGAGCTCATGTGACTTGCCTCCTCTTACCCCACTGGGCTAGCTTTGTAGTCTCTTTACCCTTGAAGTAAAGTGTTTTTATTATTAGTTGTGTTCTGTGTGTGTGTGTGTGTGTGTGTGTGTGTGTGTGTGTGTGATGGAGTTTCACTCTTGTTACCCAGGCTGGAGTGCGATGGCGCGATCTCGGCTCACCGCAGCCTCCGCCTCCTGGGTTCAAGCAATTGACCTACCTCAGCCTCCCGAGTAGCTGGGACTACAAGCGCACTACCATGCCCAGCTAACTTTTGTATTTTTTGTAGAGACGGGGTTTCACCATGTTGACAAGGATGGTCTCGATCTCTTGACCTCGTGATCCACCCGCCTCAGCCTCCCAAAGTGCTGGGATTATATATAGGCTTGAGCCACCGCGCCCGGCCTACTAGCTATTTTAACCCTTCAACTGAAAGCAGAGCTAGAAGGGGCAGGTGTGGCCTCTTATAGCAGAACTTTAAAATGGTTGTGTGATTTGATCTTTTTCTTCTCTGCCAACATTTTTCTAGGAATGCTTTAATTCTCCATATGGAGTGAAATATTTTCCTGAATATGCAGAGAAAATTCCTGGTGAATCCACACAGAAGCTTTCTGAAGTAGCAAAGGAATGCAGCATATATCTGATTGGAGGTAACTTCCTACCTACCAGGTGTAATGGCCTAAACATTAAAAGCATCTGAATGAGCCGGGTGTGGTGGTGTGCACCTGTATTCCCAGCTACTCAGGAAGCTGAAGCAGAGTTTCTTCTTCTTTTATTTTTCATTCTTTTTAGGTGAGATCTTGCTCTGTCGTGCATTATGGAGTGCAGTGGTGCGATCATGGCTCACTACAGCCTCACCCTACCAGACCCAAGTGATTCCCCCACCTCTCAGCCGCCTGAGTAGCTGGGACTGCAGGTGTGCGCCACCATGCCTGGCTGAATTTTCTGGTTTTTTTTTTTTTTCCGTAGAGACGGGATTTCACCATGTTGCCCAGGCTGGTTTTGAACTCCTAGGCTCAAGCAATCTGCCCACCTTGGCCTTCCAAAGTGCTAGGATGACAGGTGTGAGCCATCATACCAGGCCTATTTTTTACTACACTAGTAGAGGATTGAGAAAAAAGATTTTTTTTCATAGAGGCCACATACATAAAGGGAGCTTAATTTTGTGGTTTTGGAACAGATGTTTAAAGGTTTTATTTGCTTAAATAAAAAATAAGCACGGGGCCAGGCACAGTGGCTCGAGCCTATAATCTCAGCACTTTGGGAGGCTGAGGTGGGTGGATCATGAGGTCAGGAGTTCGAGACCAGCCTGACCAATATGGTGAAACCCCATCTCTGCTAAAAATACAAAGGTTAGCCAGGTATGGTGGTGCATGCCTGTAGTACCAGCTACTCAGGAGGCAGAGGCAGAAGAATCACTTGAACCCGGGAGGTGGAGGTTGCAGTGAGCCAAGATCACACCATTGCACTCCAGCCTGAGCAACAGAGTAAGACTGTCTCAAAAAAAAAAAAAAAGCACTTTAAAAGTTCTATAAATATAGCAAATAAATATTTTTCTGTATGAGTATATATTAAGAATTAGAAATGAGCTGGGTGGGGTGGCTCACACCTGTAATCCCAGCACTTTGGGAGGCCAAGGCGGGCGGATCGCAAGGTCAAGAGTTCAAGACCATCCCCGCCAACATGGTGAAACCCCGTCTCTACTAAAAATACAAAAATTAGCCGGGTGTGGTGGCATACACCTGTAGGCCCAGCTACTCAGGAGGCTGAGGCAGGAGAATCACTTGAACCTGGGAGGCGGAGGTTGCAGTGAACCGAGATCATGCCACTGCACTCCCGTCCTGGCGACAGAGCAAGACTTCATCTAAAAAAACAAAAACAAAAACAAACAAACAAAAAAAAACAAAGAAAAAAGAATTAGAAATGAAGGCAAAGCAAGCCTGGAGGTGAAACTGCATTCAGTGATGGAGAGGCTTCTGACTTTACATTGTCATTTTTGGGATCCAGTTTGTTGCAGGACCAGGAATTCAAGTTAAGCAATGGGAAATTTTTCACTTTGCTCCAATGTTACAGATTAAGTGTTGCTCAAGGTCATGGCTGAATTTCAGGAACAGTTTGGTTAGTTTTTAAACCTGTCTTTGGCATCTGACCTAATCATATCCCGTGTACACTCTGGAGTTTATCTCTGAAAGATCATATTGAAGAAGGGAAAATAAAACATGATTAACCCATAGAAGGGAGTACTTATTCTATATTTTAGGGTGAGGTGTTGCCTTATTCTAAAAACAAAATGAATAAATCAACTGTAAAAATGGGTGGGTTCTTTATTTTCGGACCCAAGTTATCAGGCGTATATCCCTTTCTCACAAAAGAATTGCTCTATTCTTCTTATGGTATGTTTCTTCTCTCAATGAAAGGCTCTATCCCTGAAGAGGATGCTGGGAAATTATATAACACCTGTACTGTGTTTGGGCCTGATGGAACTTTACTGGCAAAGTACAGAAAGGTAAGTAGGAAGTGTGGCAGAATTTATTATCTTCAAGCCAGCAATGATGTGTGGGAAAAAAAGAGAATTTGCTCCGAAGTCCCGTGGTCCCTCTCATTGTATCGTACATGCAGTAGCGTTTTGACTGATTGGCACAGGTGGTTATTCTTGGCCACTTGCATTGTTATGTAAATTTTAGACTTAACCTGTCAATTTCTGCAAAGGAACAACCTATAGGAATTTTTATTAGTATTTCACTGAAAATATAAAGACCACTTTGGGAAGAGTTGCCATCTTTCTGGTGTTAAATGCATATACATGGCCAGGCACGGTGGCCCATGCCTGTAATCCCAGGCCGAGGCAGTTGGATCATCTGATGTCAGGAGTTCAAGACCAGACTGGCCAACATGGTGAAACCCTGTCTCCACTAAAATATAAAATTAGCTGGGTGTGGTGGCACACACCTATAGTCCCAGCTACTTGGGAGTCTGAGACAGGAGAATCACTTGAACCTGGGAGGTGAAGGCTGCAGGGAGCCGAGATTGCAACACTGCACTCCAGCCTAGGCAAGACAGAGCGAGACTCTCTCTCAAAAAAAAGAAAAATGCATATACACTTTTAAGTCTTCTTGATGAATTGACCCTTTTATCATTATGAAATACCTCTTTCTTTTTTCTTGTAATACCTTTTGTCTTGAAGTCTGCTTTATCTTGACTCACTGTACCCACTTCAGGCTTCTTATGCCTACTGTTTGCTGATACATGGTTTTTCCAATTATTTGTTCTCAAGTTATATGTGTTTTTATATTTTAAATGGATCTCTTGTCAACAGCATATAATTGTATCTTAATTTTTTCTTTATTCTGACAATCTGTCTTTTAATTGAAGTGTTTAGTCCATTTATATTTAATGTATTTATTGATATGATTGAATTTAGGGATACAGACATTTTACTTTTTTTCCCTTTGTTCCTCTTGCCTGTATTAGTTTGGATTAATCGAATGTTCTTTCGAGTTCTGTTTGAGTTTATCTATTGGCTTTTTAGTTACGCCTCTTTGCTTTTTTTCCCCAGTTGTTGCCCTCGGAATTATAATATGCATCCTTAACTTTTTACAGGCTGCTTAAGAGTCAATATTATAGGGCCGGGCGCGGTGGCTCACGCCTGTAATCCCAGCACTTTGGGAGGCCCAGGTGGGTGGATCACGAGGTCAAGAGATCGAGACCATCCCGTTCAACATGGTGAAACCCCGTCTCTACGAAAAATACAGAAAACGAGCTGGGCATGGTGGCGCGTGCCTGTCATCCCAGCTACTCAGGAGGCTGAGGCAGGAGAATTGCCTGAACCCAGGAGGCGGAGGTTGCGGTGAGCCGAGATCGCGCCATTGCACTCCAGCCTGGGTCACAAGAGGGAAACTCTGTCTCAAAAAAAAAAAAAAAGAAAGTTAATATTACATCATTTCATGTGAAATTTAAGAACCTTATAATGAGCCAGACTTGGTGGCTCACACCTGTCATCCCAGCCCTTTGGAAAGCTGTGGCGGGTAGATCATGAGATCAGGAGTTTGAGACCATCCTGGCTAACATGATGAAACCCTGTCTCTACTAAAAATACAAAAAATTAGCCAGGCATGGTGGCAGACGCCTGTAGTCCCAGCTACTCGGGAGGCTGAGGCAGGAAAATGCTTGAACCTGGGAGGTGGAGGTTGCAGTGAGCTGAGATTGCGCCAGTGCACTCCAGCCTGGGTGACAGGGTGATACTCTGCCTCAAAAAAAAAACAAAAAAACAAAAAAGAACCTTACAATGGTATCAGGGCCATTTTTCTACCCCATTTCCCTTGCCCTCATTCTTTATGCTATAGTTGTTATTTGTATTCCATGTATATATGTTATAAATTCCACAAAACAATAATACTTGATTTAAGCAGTCATATGTATTCTAAAGAAATTAAGAAAAAAGTCTTTATGCTTACCCAAATATTTATCATTTGTGGTGTTTTTCTTTCCTTCCTGAAGATCCTTCTTCTGTCTGGTATATCTTCCTTCAGACCAACGGCTCTCCTTTAGTATTTTTGTACTGAGGATCTTTTAGCTAGGAATTCTGTTTTTGTTTATGAATATCTTTACATTGCTTTCATTCTTGAAAGATATTTTTGCTGGAATAGAATTTTGGATTGACAGTTTTTTTTTTCCGCTAGTAGCTATTATCTAGACTTTTTTCTTCCTCCCTGATGAGAAGTGAGTAGTAATTTGTATTGTTCCCTTGAATATAATTTGTTGTTTTTCTCTTCCTCTTTTCAAGATGTTTTTAAAATCTTTAGTTTATAGTATTTTGACTTTGATGTGCCTAGATGTGGTTTTGTCTTTGTCTTACTTGGTACTTCTTGGACCTATAAATTTAAATCTTTCAACGTATTTGGGAAATTTCTTGACACTCTTTTGTTAAATATTTTACTATCCCTTTTACTTATGGAACTCCATTATACGTCTGTTATATTTTTAAATATTTTTCCAAGGTCACCAGGCTCTGTTTTTCTGTTGTTGTTCTTCCAATACTTTTTCTTTCTGTTCTACAGACTAGATAATTTCTGTTGATCTTTCAGACTTATTTACTGTTTCTTCTGTCTTCTTCAATTTCCTATAAGCTAACCCAGTGAATATTTTAAAATTCAGATATTAAAATTTTCAGTTCTAAAATACCCTTTGCTTCTTTTTTATAGTTTTTATTACCCTATGATATTTTCTCTTTGTTCATTAAGGTATTATTTTTGACACTCTTGAGCTTAGTTTCTATAGCTGCTTTAAAGTCTGATAATTATCACATCTCTGTGCCAGAGAATGAGACTATATGGCCTTTAAAAGGACTTTAATGTAAATAAACTCATGTCCAAACCTAAAACAAAATATAACATCTGGGTCAAGGCAGGATCTGTGTTCATTTGATTGCCCTTTCTTTGGAGTTTGGGTCACATTTCTGTTTCTTTGAGTATCTACTAATTTAGGATTATATAGCAGATTATATGTTGTAGAGAGTCAAGATTTTATTATAGTCTTCCACAAAGTGTTGAATATTTTGTTTTAACTGGTGGTTAACGTGGCTTCACTCAAACACCAGACTCTTATTTTCTTTGTAATGTGGGCAGTAATTTGCGCTGCTCTGTTCTATCTGGTTATTCTGCCCCATTTCTATTTAACTCAGTGATCAGCTAGAGATTTAGAAAGATTTTATACGTAGAATTTAGAATCTTGCTCTCTGCTTTCCCCATTTCGGGATTTCCCCCCATGGTTTCTAGCTCTGGTTCTTCAAGCCAGTGTGATTATGGATAATTTTCACCACCACTTATCACAACTGGGACCTTGCTTCAGGGTGACAGCTGTAAATAGCAGCTGTTACCCGCTTCCACCTGTTTGTGTTCTTCTCTTCAGGTTCTGCCTGCTGGGTTTTTTTGGTCATTCTTCAGTGCTTTAAGTAGTTGTACCTTTTATTTTGTCCAGAATTCATAGTTAAGCAGAAGAAAGCTGGTCTGATAGGAGGTACTGTGCACATGCAGGAAGAACACCCAACACTGGGCTAAGAACCCAGCTCTTTGAAATGTATCTTTTTAGTGTTAAGTTTTCCAGTCCATGAATGTGGTATATATCCTGACATTTATTACACTTTCTTTAATTTCTCTGAATTTCTTTTCATAGTTTTTTTTTTTTTTTTTTGAGATGGAGTTTCGCTCTTGTTACCCAGGCTGGAGTGCAATGGCACGATCTCGGCTCACCGCAACCTCCACCTCCTGGGCTCAGGCAGTTCTCCTGCCTCAGCCTCCTGAGTAGCTGGGATTACAGGCACGCGCCACCACGTCCAGCTAATTTTTTGTATTTTTAGTAGAGACGGGGTTTCACCATGTTGACCAGGATGGTCTCGATCTCTCGACCTTGTGATCCACCCGCCTCGGCCTCCCAAAGTGCTGGGATTACAGGCTTGAGCCACCGCGCCCGGCTCTTTACATAGTTTTTTGGGTATAATTTTGTGTAACATTTGTGAGATTTATTCCTCATTGGTGATTATAGATGCTCTTTCATTTTCTGTTTCTTTTTTGTTTGTTTGTTTTGAGATGCAGTCTTCCTCTGTTGCTCAGGCTGGAGTGCAGGGGTTCGATCTCTTCTCTCAGCACCTCGAGTGGCTGGGATTACAGGCGTGTGCTACCACACCTGGCTAATTTTTGTATTTTTAGTAGAGACGTGGTTTTACCGTGTCGGCCGGGCTGTTCTTGAACTCCTGACCTTAGGTAATCTGCCTGCCTTGGCCTCCTAAAGTGCTGGGAATACAGGCGTGAGCCACTGTGCCTGGCCCATTTTCTGTTTCTTGCTGATGTATAGAAATACAGCAAGTTTTCAAAATATTGACTTTGTAGTGAGGCACAGTGACTCATGCCTGTAATCCCAGAACTTTTCAAGGTACAGGCAGGCAAATTGCTTGAGTTCAGGAGTTGGAGACCAGCCTAGGTAACATGGCAAAACTCCTCTACAAAAAATACAAAAGAAATTAGGTGGGCTTGGTGGTGTGTACTTGTAGTCCCAGCTGTTCAGGAGGCTGAGGTGGGAGGATTGCTGGAGCATGGGAGGTCAAGGCTGCAGTGAGCCAACATCGCACCACTGCCCTCTAGCCTGGGTGACAGAGCAAGACTCTGTCTTAAAAAAAAAAAAAGTTTTTTTAAATGAAAAAGCAACCTTGGCCGGGCGCGGTGGCTCAAGCCTGTAATCCCAGCACTTTGGGAGGCCGAGACGGGTGGATCACGAGGTCGAGAGATCGAGACCATCCTGGTCAACATGGTGAAACCCCGTCTCTACTAAAAATACAAAAAATTAGCTGGGCATGGTGGCACGTGCCTATAATCCCAGCTACTCAGGAGGCTGAGGCAGGAGAATTGCCTGAACCCAGGAGGCGGAGGTTGCGGTGAGCCGAGATCGCGCCATTGCACTCCAGCCTGGGTAACAAGAGCGAAACTCCATCTCAAAAAAAAAAAAAAGAAAAAGCAACCTTACTAAACTCACTCATTAATTCTAATAATTTATCTGTAGTTTTGTTTTTTTTTTTAGTTTCTAGGTATATAATCATCTGAGAATAATGACAGATTTCATTTTTTCTTTTCAGTTTTATACTTTTTACTTCTTTTTTTTTTGAGACGGAGTTTTGCTCTTGTTACCCAGGCTGCAGTGCAATGGCGCGATCTCGGCTCACCGCAACCTCCGCCTCCTGGGTTCAGGCAATTCTCCTGCCTCAGCCTCCTGAGTAGCTGGGATTACAGGCACGCGCCACCATGCCCAGCTAGTTTTTTGTATTTTTAGTAGAGACGGGGTTTCACCATGTTGACCAGGATGGTCTCGATCTCTTGACCTCGTGATCCACCTGCCTCAGCCTCCCAAAGTGCTGGGATTACAGGCGTGAGCCACCGCGCCCGGCCCAACCTCTTTTCTTTTCTTTCTTGCTGTGTTTAGGATCTCTGGTACCTATACCAAGCAGGTATCCTTGTCTTGTTCCCAATCTCACAGGGACAGTTTTCAGTATTTCATCATTAAGTATGAAGCTTGTTTAGGTGTTTTGCAGATAATCTTTATCAGATTAATAAAGTTCCCTTCCTAGAAGTTTTTCTTTTGTTTTTAAATCGGGAATGGCTGTAGAAGTTTACCGAATTCTCATACGTCTTTTGAGTTGATCATTTGATTTTTCTTCATTTTGTTGCTTTAGTAAATTACACTGATTGATTTTCTAATCTTAAACAATATTTGCTTTCCTTGAATAAATCCAGTTTGGAAGTGATGCATTTTATTTTGCTGAATTTGGTTTGCAAAATTTTTACCTATTTTTAAATGCCCACCCACTTTTCACCTCTCCTGAGAAGTCTTTTTTTTTTTTTTTTTTTTTTTGAGATGAAGTCTTTCTGTGTCACCCAGGCTAGAGTGCAGTGGTGTGATCTGAGCTCACTGCAACCTCCGCCTCCTGGGTTCGAGCAAGTCTCCTTCCTCAGCCTGGTGAGTAGCTGGGACTATAGGCGTGTACAACCACGCCTGGTTAATCTTTTTTTTTTTTGTATTTTTAGTAGAGGTGAGGTTTTACCACATTGGCCAGGCTGGTCTCAAACCTCCTTGATGTCCCAAAATGCTAGGATTACAGGTGTGAGCCACCACACCCAGCCTGATTCTAAGAAGTCTTTTTTCAGTATATATATATATATATATATATATATATATGTATACTGAAAAAAGACTTATATATATATATATATATATATATATATATTTTTTTTTTTTTTTTTTTTTTTTTTTTTTTTTTGAGACAGAGTTTCGTTCTTGTTACCCAGGCTGGAGTGCAATGGCGCGATCTCGGCTCACCGCAACCTCCGCCTCCTGGGTTCAGGCAATTCTCCTGCCTCAGCCTCCCGAGTAGCTGGGATTACAGGCACGTGCCACCATGCCCAGCTAATTTTTTTGTATTTTTAGTAGAGACGGGGTTTCACCATGTTGACCAGGATGGTCTCGATCTCTTGACCTCATGATCCACCCACCTTGGCCTCCCAAAGTGCTGGGATTACAGGCTTGAGCCACCGTGCCCGGCCCTAGTATTTATATTTTTAAAAAGCAACACATTAGTTACCTCCCATGAGAAACCTAGACGTTGATTTGCATATCACATAGAAAATAGGCGCTATAAAAGATACAGCATCATTTTTCCAGTTTCCTGTGGTAGAATTCATTTTGGTCAGATGTTAGCCAGCTTGTGGGGTGGATTATGGGCAGTTTGGGGCTGCTGTTTGTATAGCTGATCTTACAGCACTTTCCACATCCGCCCATGGAAAGACAGTGTCATTACTGCCATGAACCCTGCTGGAAAAGAGGTAACCAGATGCATTATTTGTGATGCAGATCCATCTGTTTGACATTGATGTTCCTGGGAAAATTACATTTCAAGAATCTAAAACATTGAGTCCGGGTGATAGTTTCTCTACATTTGATACTCGTATGTACCAGATAAGTTTGCCTCCTTAGCAATCTCAATAGAAGACAATCAGGTATTTATTTCTTTTTTGTCTCCCTCCAATTTCTTCACATAACCTAACTGAAAGACCATAAGTGAGAAAGGCAGAGAATCGTCAGCGATCTGGAAAGTTTGGGATTAAGTGAGAAAGGCAGAGAATCATCAGAGATCTGGAAAGTTTGGGATTAATTGAGAACTAAGGATTTGACAGAATTTTGCCCTTCGATTTGATTGTAGCTTCCTGTTACGGCTTCCAGATTTCACTTATTAGACCACGGTTGGGTACCTCCCACCTAGAACATAAGCATTCAGTTAGAATTAATTTCATTTTTACACTGCTGATTCAAATGATGTCTTCATGAGATGAAATCTAGGAATGAGCTTACAAATTGTCTCTTTCCTCAGGTCCTGTGTTAATTTATCCCTGTCAGTGTTTTGTGATCATTTAGTCATGGAGGATTTCCCCTGCCACACCATGCTGTAGGAAGTTAACCTTTCATTTGTGCATTTTCTGTTTGGAAACAGCTTACTGCAGAGTGGGTCTGGGCATCTGCTATGACATGCGGTTTGCAGAGCTTGCACAGATCTACACACAGAGAGGTGAGACAGTACAACGGCTGTGTTACGTGGGTGCTTGGAGGCTTGGTTCTAGGCTGGGCTGCGTGGGATCCTTAGTCAAGAAAAGTTGGGAGAGCGCTCTCAATCTCTCCATCTCCAGCCTTTTCACCACCTTGCGGCTTCCTAGACTTTTGCTGCATGTAGATGACAGGGTTTTTCAGGGGTTGTAGCTAAGTTAGGAGCTGTGCTCCTAAAGGTCTGCTCTTACCCTTGAGTCCTTCTTGTTACTGTGTTTGGAGAGTCACTTGAAGCCCAGTAGAAATGAGGTGGATTCCACCACGCCGTACTCCTAGACATTCGGTAGAGTGGAATTGTAGTCTGCGGTATTTTGGTTCAGACGAGGAGAAATGTGCTAGTATCTGGGAAGAGCCAGTTCAAAAGATGTGGGTTCTAGTCCCAACTCTTCCCTTTAATTGGCACAGCACTTTGCTTAAATGATTTAATCTCTAGAGCAGTATAGTTCTCAGTTTAGTCACAGGAATAGTGTGAGGATTAAGAAGAGAAAACCTACAAAGCCCCTCGCGTGGTACTCAGCAAGTACCAGCATCCTTACTGGACCTACAAAGCCCCTCGCGTGGTACTCAGCAAGTACCAGCATCCTTACTGGACCTACAAAGCCCCTCGCGTGGTACTCAGCAAGTACCAGCATCCTTACTGGATCTACAAAGCCCCTCGTGTGGTACTCAGCAAGTACCAGCATCCTTACTGGACCTACAAAGCCCCTCGCGTGGTACTCAGCAAGTACCAGCATCCTTACTGGATCTACAAAGCCCCTTGTGTGGTACTCAGCAAGTACCAGCATCCTTACTGGACCTATAAAGCCCCTCGTGTGGTACTCAGCAAATACCGGCATCCTTACTGGACTGCTCAAAGCTACTTCCAAGTAACTGTCACTTAACAAAGTGAAGTTGGTAGAAATGGTTTGACTGCCCACCCAGAAGGTGGAGGTGCATGGGCTCTGGGGTCAAGCATTAGGGCAACTACCCGGCCCCTAATTTTTGTTGAAAAGAATTACGAAACATGGCCGTTGGCCATGTGGAGCCAAAATATGGAGCTGAGAAAAACTTGTTTGTTTAGTTTTGTCTTGTTGGAGATGGAGTTTAGCTCTTGTTGCCCAGGCTGGAGTGCAGTGGCTCAGTCTCGACTCACTGCAATCTCTGCCTCCCAGGTTCAAGCGATTCTCCTGCCTCAGCCTCCGGAGTAGCTGGGACTACAGGTGCCCACCACCATGCCCACCTAAATTTTGTATTTTTAGTAGTTACGGGGTTTCACCATATTAGCCAGACTGGTCTCAAACTCCTGGCCTCAGGTGGATCTACCCGCCTCAGTCTCCCAAAGTGCTGGGATTACAGGCGTGAGCCACTACACCCAGCCAGAGCTGAGAGAAATTTGAATGACAGTTCTCTACCTTATTTTTGTTTGTTTTGAGGCAGGGTGTCATTGTCACCCAGGCTAGAGTGCAGGTATGATCATGGCTTACTGAAGCCTTGATCTTCTGGGCCCAAGTGATCCTCCCACCTCAGCCTCCCAAGTAGCTGGGACTCCAGGCACGTGCCACCACACCTGGCTAATTTTTAATGTTTTGTAGAGATGGGGTTTCTGTATGTCGCCCAGGCTTTCTGTACTTTTTTGAGTGAAGTTGATGCTGGTGGGGTAGGGAGGCCCCCAACAGTAGTGAGGCCCTGGCCCCAGCCCGCGTCCATGTAGTCAACACTATACCATTGCAAGGAGGAATTCAGGATGAGTCAGAAAATAGCGGAAGTATGGAGAGTCATCACAAAGTGGAAAGTGCACAGTCCAGAAGGGGCAGTGTGTGTGTGCTCAAGGAGTCGTGCGCAAGGAGGTTTGGGCCATCTACTTTTATGGGCTTTTTTTTTTTTTTTTTTGAGACAGAGTCTCCATCTGTCGCCTAGGCTGGAGTGCAGTGGTGCGATCTTGGCTCACTGCAAACTCCCCTTCCTGGATTCAAGCAATTCTGCCTCAGGATCCCTAGTAACTGGGATTATAGACACCCAGCACCACACCCAGCTATTTTTTTTGTATTTTTAGTAGAGACAGGGCTTCATCATATTGGCCAGGTTGGTCTCGAACTCCAGACCTCAGGTGATCTACCTGCCTCAGCCTCCCAAAGCGCTAAGATTACAGGTCACCATGGCCGGCTACCTTTATGGGTTTCTTTAAAGGGGTGAAATATTGATGAAGCTTCCTAGAAAAAGGTGGAGATTTCTCGGAATTGTGGTGCCACTAATTTTTTCACCAAATATGGGTGTTCCAGAAACTATCATGGTGCTGGTGGATGTGTGGTTTAGTATGTTAATGAGCTTCTAATGAGGATAAGGAGGACCTAGGTGAAACCTAGGTCAAATTCAGCACCGCAGTGGATCTGGTTGGAATTAGCCCTGGTTTCTCAGGGTCTTATGCGCTAGCTTATGCAGCTATTTCAACAGTTTCCCTTTGCTAGTCCTAAGAAAACTGCTGCCTGGAATTTTCTGTCCTCTTGCGACCGTCTGGTATTATTTCTGTCTCAAAGTCATGTGTCATTTTGGTCATCAATACTATTTTTCTTGTGTGTCCATATATGTGTGACTTATGTAAAGGAATTCAGAGCCGGATCTTAATTGCTGCTGGCACTGTCTGACTTGGCTGCCATCGTTTTATGTTTGGGAAAGTTTGAGTTCAATCCCTGCTAGATAAGGAGCAGTGGGGAGGGCTGGTGATGTTGGGTGCTAGATGAGGAGCAGTGGGGAGCGCTGGTGGCTTTGGGTGCTAGATGAGGAGCAGTGGGGAGCGCTGGGGGTGGTGGGTGCTAGATGAGGAGCAGTGGGGAGCGCTGGGGGTGGTGGGTGCTAGATGAGGAGCAGTGGGGAGCGCTGGGGGTGGTGGGTGCTAGATGAGGAGCAGTGGGGAGCGCTGGGGGTGGTGGGTGCTAGATGAGGAGCAGTGGGGAGCGCTGGTGGCTTTGGGTGCTAGATGAGGAGCAGTGGGGAGGACTGGCAGTAGAAGGTGCTCACTTCACCCACTGTTCTTTGGCTTTTCCCTCCCCAAGGCTGCCAGCTGTTGGTATATCCAGGAGCTTTCAATCTGACCACTGGACCAGCCCATTGGGAGTTGCTTCAGCGAGGCAGGTAAGAAAGAAACCATCTACTCAAGCCTCTCCCTATGTCCTGTTCGTGGAAAGCTTGCCGGTTGGGTGGAGGTACCAGCCTTCCTGAGGTGGATTCTGCCGCTGACTCAGGATGCCCTGTATCCAGCTGCAGCTGGGAAGGAATAAGGCTGTGAGGGGACTTCTGCCACTGGGCGCTTTCTCCCCAGAAGCCACAACACCAGTCTCGTGGATTCTGGAAACTGTACTTTCTGTTTTTTTCTAAGAGACGGGGTCTTACTGTTGCCCAGGCTGGAATGCAGTGGCGTAATCATAACTCATTACAGCCTTGAAATCCTGGGCTCAAGTGATCCTCCTGCCTCAGCCTCCTGAGTAGGTGGGACTACAAGCATGTGCCACCATGCCTGGCTAATTTTTTGATTTTTGAAGAGATAGAGCCTCACTTTATTGACCAAGCTGGTCTCAATCTCCTGACCTCAAGTGATCTTCCCACCTCAGCCTCTCAAAGTGCTCGGATTGCAGGCATGAGCCCCAAGCCCTGCTGGAACTGTGGTTTTTGGCATTTTCAATACTCAGTGTGTCAGGTGGGTAGTGATTTCATTTTTCTGTGATTAGATGTGGATTGGTCCCTCTTAAGTTAGTTCCAGCAACTTTGACAGAGAAATTGAGACACACAGGGCTTATGTCTTCAGACCCCAGAAGCCAGTGAAAAGACAGGGGTTATTTTAGCTTGACCTAGGGAGAGATTTGTGGTCTGTACCCAGTTGATTCTGTGCTTATTCAAATTAGGATGTTACCCTACCTCATCCTTCACACCATCCTGCTAGTCCTGGGGGTACTGCACCAAGAAACTCATTAGCAGCTCTTGTTCTTCTAACCTGCAACTCCAGGGCTTTGCACAAGCGTCTTTGGCAGGTCACAGGTGCCTTTCCTCAATTTTCCAAGGCTGAGGAGTGGTGAAGGGCAAAGAGCGTAGGCGGACGTCAGATGGAAGGGAAAATGAGTGTGACTGACTGTGTGCGTGTGACTCTGTGTGTCTTTCTGTCTGTCTATAAAGTGCTCTACAGTCCATGAAATGCTGGTCTGAGATGATGGTTTTCTTTAGAGTTTTTAAAAATTGAAGTAATATAAAAAAGTGTACTAATTTTAAGCATATAGGTTGGTGAATTTTTCACCTGCCACCAAGATGAACATACAGAACGTTTCTAGCCTTTGAAGATGCTCCTTTTTCTACCCCTTTCTAGTCAATACTCCTCTCTCTGTCTAGAGGTCGCACTATTCTCAGTTCTAGAGATGGTGGTAATTTTTAATGGAAGGGAAAGTTTTGGCTGGTTGCGTGGTGGAAGATGGGGGTCGGGTTGTAAGATGCCATGAGTATCGATGAATGTACAATTTTGTCACAAGTAAGAAAAGTTTCTGGGATACTGAGATGACCCAGCATGGGTCTGTTAAGTCCAGAGGGCTCCCAGGTGAGGTGGCTTGGTGTACCTGGACTGCGAGCTGCAGTTCTTGTCTTACTTGAGGTGGTGGAACTGCCGCCGTGGCGTGGGAGCACCACGTGGCCCTGCAGGGGTATTGCTTTTGCAAAGGCCACTCCAGTCTCTCCAGCCACCTTGACTTGCATTGACCAGAGACACTTTTGTCTTATATTAGCTTAGGGCAGGGTTTCTCCACAGCTGCACTGTTGACATTTAGGTCTGTTATTTATTTATTTTTATTTTTTGAGTTGGAGTCTCTCACCCAGGCTGGAGTGTAATGTAATCTTGGATTGCTGCAACCTCCACCTCTCAGGTTTAATTCTCTGGCCTTAGCCTCCCAAACAGCTGGGACCGCAGGCATGTGCTACCATGGCTGGCTAATTTTTTTTTTTTTTTTTTTTTTTGAGACAGAGTCCTGCTCTGTAGCCAGGCACCAGGCTGGAGTGCAGTGGCGAGATCTAGGCTCACTGCAACCTCTGCCTCCCGGGTTCAAGCAATTCTCCTGCCTCAGCCTCCCAAGTACCTGGGACTACAGACATGCGCCACCAAGCCCAGCTAATTTTTATATTTTAGTAGAGATGAGGTTTCATTATGTTGGCCAGGATGGTCTCGATCTCTTGACCTTCTGATCCACCCACCTCGGCCTCCCAAAGTGCTGGGATTACAGGCGTGAGCCACTGGGCCCGGCCTTTTTTTTGAGATGAGTCTAGCTCTATCACTCAGGCTGGAGTGCAGTGGCACAGTCTCAGCTCTGTACAACCTCCACCTCCTGGGTTCAAGCCATTCTCCTGCCTCAGCCTCCTGAGTAGCTGGGACTGCAAGCGCACCACCATGCCCAGCTGATTTTTGTATTTTTAGTAGAGACGGGGTTTCACCATGTTGGTCAGGCTGGTCTCCAGCTCCTGACCTTGTGATCTGCCCACCTTGGCCTCCCAAAGTGCTGGGATTGCAGGCGTGAGCCACTGCACCCGGCCCTAGGTCTGTAATTCTTAGTGTGGGGCTATCCCGTGCATGGGAGGATGTTTCGCAGCATCCCTGGCCTCCGCCTACTTGATATCAGTAGCATCTACTTAGTCGCGATAGGAAAATCTCCAGACATTGTCAAATTTGGTGGGCAACACTGCTTATTGTTGAGAACCACTGGCTTATGCAGTAAGGTAACTTTTTAAAGAAAAGGTTCCATGGTTCTGGCTTTCTTCTACATCTGAGTTAGCCTGAACTGTCCCTATTTTTTAAAAGAAGGATCTATCTACCAAAGTTAGAAAAATGTCAGATTTATAATGTAGGATTTACCTATTTCCTGTCTGTTGGCTACAGAGCTGTTGACAATCAGGTGTATGTGGCCACAGCCTCACCTGCCCGGGATGACGAAGCCTCCTATGTTGCCTGGGGACACAGCACCGTGGTGAACCCTTGGTGAGTGAGGCCCAGTCGGAGCTTGAGAGATGGCTGGTCGACAGATGGGTTTTCTGGTTCCCGAGCAGCCAGACACCCCCAACTCGCTCCCATTTCCTCACATATCCTGCCAGCTCTCTGCCTCTCTGTGAGAGAAGCTTCCACCGAAAACCATGTGAGAAAGGAATCACCCTGCTCTCCTGATCAAGTGCTTGGCCTTAGCCCTCTTCTGAGTTTCTTGTGACCTTCATTGTCAGTCAGATGAGATCACATGGGTCAACAGGGCAGCAGTGACGGGCAGCCAGTAGCAAGAGACACTGAATTACTTACCTTTTGGCTAAAATGTAAGCTGGCTGACTAGTCCTTGGATAGGAATGAGTTACAGAGCAAGGACTTTGCTCCTAGCATAATGATCAGAGGAGCAGTCAGGATGAGTTCAATAAGCAAAACTGTGACCCTCTGCCCTACAAAAGGGCGAAGCATTTTATTACTCGGTGGGCCAGCACATAAGCCTGTCCAGACACAAGTACAGTCACACTCTCACAAACATTCCTTACTGTCTGCATTTGCACAGTTTACATTGTTCTTTCACACACATGGTCTCAACTTAACTCTCAGGAACTTGCTCTTAGGAAGCACAGGTTAAGATGATAGAATTACAGACCCAGAGCGGCTGGCACTGGTCTTTAAGGCCAGGATGTTCGCCCTCCGAACCTGGCTGTGTTCCACACTAGTTCTCTGTACGAAAGCACACACACCCTGGAATGTGTGTCTATGTATTAGGATAAGTATGCCAGCAACAAGACTGAGAAGAGTTAAATATTACTGCGGGGTTCCCGAGGGCTCCGTGTGTGTGGGCAGGGAGGATCTGGGACACGTGGCTAGTGCGAGACTCCAGCTGGCCTCCTGCACATGAGGCTCGGGGGCATTGAAGGGCTTAAGTTGACTTGAAAATTTTCTTGAACATGCATCAAGTTCCACTGTCCAGAGATCTTTAAATGCCAGGGCAAATTGGGAAGAATCAGAAAAGAATTCAGTTACTTGTTATAAATGGTGGTGCTTGTAGCTCATTTGTGCCAAAAGTCGGTGGCTATCTGGTAAACAGAATCAGTTGTTACGTCAGATTATTTTGGAGAAGCTTCTAGATAAGGGTTTGAACCCTTGCTCTGGGCCAAGAGACTAAGCACTGGAGAGAGTTTCTTTTTTTTTTTTTTTTTGAGATGGAGTTTCACTCTGTCGCCCAGGCTGGAGTGCAGTGGTGTGATCTTGGCTCACTGCAACCTCTCCCTCCCGGGTTTGAGCCATTCTTCTCCCTCAGCCTCTTAGTAGCTGGGATTACAGGTGGGCAGCACCACAGCCAGCTAATTTTTGGTATTTTTAGTACTGATGGGGTTTCGCTATGTTGGCCAGGCTGGTCTCAAACTCCTGACCTCAAGTGATTCACTCGCCTTGGCCTCCCAAAGTGCTTGGATTACAGGAACGAGCCACTGCACGCTGCCTGGAGATAGTTTTACAGGTCAGCCTTACCCTGGACTTATAAAGGAGTGTGGCTGTTCCCTGGTGCAGGGCTCTTAGCAGTGTGAGTTACCCTCCATCTCCCTGTGCCACTGCTACCCAGCCCCTAGAGGTTGAACTCTTTCCTTCAAATCTGAAACTGAAGTCCATTAACATAGGGTTGCAGGCAGCACAGCCACCAGAGCAGAGACCCCAGCAGATCAGGGGCCCAGCTTCATCAGCCTCGGGTAGGGTAGCAGCTCAGGCAGGTATGAATTTCAGAGCAGGTCCAGACTACCCTTGTTAAGGGGTCCCACTGAAATGCACTCATGAGGGCATGAGATGGAGCTTCCAACATTGGTCATAGGTAGCTCTGTTCCCAGATCTTTATAATCATCAGATAACCACCATTTCCTAGTGGTTTGCAGTTTTTGAAACATGATCCACAGTTTTATTAGTAAGCCCTCACAGAGCAGTTATTTCCACTTTATAGATTAGGAAATGGAGATTTGAAATAACTTTCCACAAGGTCACAGAGCTGTTTAAATGCTAGAACAGAAATCTGTACCACTACCTTCTTGTTTTAAATCTCAGACTTGCCCCTTTGGCCTGTGAGGTGGGGAGGAAGAAACAGATCTTGAATATCCCCAGACGCCAGTGAGTCCACTAATTCTCTCCTGCTGCTTTTTCAGGGGCGAGGTCTTAGCCAAAGCGGGCACAGAAGAAACAATCGTGTATTCAGACATAGGTAAGATGTTCCCAAGCAGGGTCAGGACTCTGATGTCCCCGATGTTCTGAGGCCAGACTCCATAGCTGGGAAGTCCCTGTCATTCAGAGGGGTTCCTTTATGTCCCTCCTCATTTATCTCTGAGGATATTCTCGGGTCTGGTTCTCTGGTCAGGCTCTGGGGAGTATATCAGCTTGAGTCTTCTTGGTTTGGTTTGAAACGATGCCGGGCTATCTGTCCATCTAGGCAAGACCTGTGTTACTAAGTTACTTACTAAGACTCTAGCGGTTTATACAGTCTGGGGATGAAATCCCCTTGGTTAGTGAGGAGTTGCAAATTATTAATAGTGCACTTTCCTGTTTTTTGCAGACCTGAAGAAGCTGGCTGAAATACGCCAGCAAATCCCCATTTTTAGACAGAAGCGATCAGACCTGTATGCAGTGGAGATGAAAAAGCCCTAAAGTTTCTGTTTGTAATGTGTCAGAACTGGAAGATATGATCCTTCAACATAATCAACTCCCCATTAAAATCTTTAATGAAGATTTTTTTCTTTAAATTCAGCCTTATCCTTTCCAGGTTCTCTATTGAGATGAGAAAGCCTCATCATGCTGACATTTTCCACATCACATTGAATAGTTAAAAAGGATGCAGCCTGGAGCTGGAGAGCAGAAAGCTGGGCTGGTTCTGAAGCTTCTTCTGTTCTTAAGTTGCCTCCAAGCAGTTTGTGAAAGTATCAGATCTTGGTATCCTGGTGATTGATTCACCTAATATTTGTGTCATGAACCTCTTATCCCATTGCTGGAGCTGGAATCTCCATCACCTAGAAAACATGGTCTGGTGCTATTCTTTTCTAAGCAGTACCTTGAAGTTCCATTTTGGGTTCGTGAGTAGCCATAGGACGCAAGGTAATAGATCTTTGGTGTTTGCCAGAGGAGGCGGCAGCCCCACCCCTCCTACCAGCCTTTGGGCTCTTCAAATTTAAGAAGGAGCTACTCATTCAACCCCAGGCCCTCTTGGTCTTGGAGGAAGGACTGGATCAACAAGAGCCTCATGGGAGAATGGCGATCAGTGGTGGCGTTTGGTGAAGGCAATTTAGTATGAATCTCTGCAAAAGATTTTTTTTTTTTTTTTTTTGAGACAGAGCCTCACCTGTTGCCAGGCTGGAGTGCAATGGCGCGATCTCAGCTCACTGCAACCTCCGCCTCCCAGGTTCAAGCGATTCTCCTGCCTCAGCCTCCCGAGTAGCTGGGACTACAGGCATCTGCCACCACACCTGGCTAATGTTTTGTATCTTTAGTAGAGATGGGGTTTCACCATGTTGGCCAGGCTGGTCTCGAACTCCTGACCTTGTGATCTGCCCACCTCTGCCTCCCAAAGTACTGGGATTAAAGGCATGAGCCACTGTGCCCAGCCAAAGATTTTTTGGATAGCATTGAGTGTCTGAAACTCTCATTATTTTTCTTTTTTCTTTTCCCCCAGTAACACTTTATAGCTCCACAGATAAAAATCACAGAACCTAGTGTTTCTTAGTTTGGCTTGAGAATCCTTTTGCAGTTAAAAATTAGAGACTGAGCCATGCATAATTAACATGAGCTGATTGTTAATTACTGGCCCGTATGTGTGTGTGTGTGTGTGTGTGTGTGTGTGTGTGTGTGTGTGTATCTCAAAGACTTCAATGACTTTTTGCTTACGTGGGCAGGTAATTGTTTAATAACCAGCTATTTGAGGAAAAGCCCCGATTTTGCCAAGGTATAAACACTTAACCATGGCTGAGTCCGAGCTGTCTGCATGAGACTGCTAAACGGAGTGGGAACAGATGTGCACCATCAGCTTTTGGGAGCTGGTGCAATCGTGCTGTAGCACACCACTGCTTTAAGATGGATATATAGATATTTACCATGTTGGAAAATAAAATGGAGAAAAATTTAAAACGAGATACATGAGGCCGGGTGCGGTGGCCCAAGCCTGTAATCCCAGCACTTTGGGAGGCCGAGGCGGGTGGATCACGAGGTCGAGAGATTGAGACCATCCTGGTCAACACGGTGAAACCCCGTCTCTACTAAAAATACAAAAAAATTAGCTGGGCATGGTGGCGCGTGCCTGTAATCCCATCTCCTCAGGAGGCTGAGGCAGGAGAATTGCCTGAACCCAGGAGGCGGAGGTTGCGGTGAGCCGAGATCGAGCCATTGCACTCCAGCCTGGGTAACAAGAGCGAAACTCCGTCTCAAAAAAAAAAAAAAAAAAAAAAAAAAAGAGATACATGAGCACACATTCCATTAGCTATAAAGGAGAAAACATGGTGTCACTTAACCTCTGGAAAACAGAACTGTGTACTGAGAACGAGAGAAAGACAAATGCCTTTTAAAATTTTTTAAATTTATGATTGATGCATAATTGTACTTTTAAAAAAAGTGTACAATTTGGTAAAACTGGATTATACAGCTATAAACCACTCCAATCAAGATAACATTTACTGCCCCCAAAAGTTTCCATGTGCTCTATTATGATCCCTCTGGCGAGTCCTGTCAATCACTGATAAATTTTATTACTATAGATTAGCTTACATTTTCTAAAATATATAAAACAATGCCATCTGTACTTTTTCTCTATGTCTTTCACTCAAAATTACTTGGAGATTCATCTGGTGTGTGCATTCGTAATTCGTTCCTTTTTTATTGCCGAGGAGTATACAATTTGTTTCTCCACTTACCTGCTGTTGGAGATTTGGGCTATTTCCAGTTTTTGGCTGTTGCAAAAAAAGCAACCTCACATCCTTTTAAAGGATGTCAGGTACTTTCAGGTAACCCTAGACTGCACTTTGCGTACCACTGCTCTCTATCCTAGCAGGCACACTGACAGATACTTAAACCTTTTAATAGTGTGAAACAATTTTCTTTTAAAAAAAATTATCTAATTTTTACATATTTTACTCTAGTCTCATGACAGATTACATTTTCTTTTTTAAATGGAAAGTCTTACTGTAAAGCCCACATCTGTATGAAACATGAAAGAATGGTCTGGTTGATGTGGATGTGTGGAACCTAAGAACCCTCTCTTGGATTTTCTCTAATTCCCCAAAAACCTCTTTTTTAAGAATTTCCTCCAAAGAGCTACTCAGGATAGTTTGAAAAGCAGTGGACAAGCCATCCTAGCTGTCTTGATACTACAGAAGCAAAGATGCTTTACGGCGATATAGCTCCTGTAACAGGTAAGGCAGACGGATGCTAAAACTTTTTACATTTCATTAATTTTTTTTTTTTTTTTACAGAGTCACAATCTTGCCCAGGCTGGAGTGCAGTTGTGTGATCTCAGTTCACGGCATCCTCTGCCTCCGCCTCCTGAGTTCAAGCAACTCTCATGCCTCTGCCTCCTGAGTAGCTGGGACTACAGGCACATACCACCACATCAGGCTAATTTTTGTATTTTTAGTAGAGACGGGGTTTCACTGTGTTGGCCAGGCTGGTCTTGAACTCCTGCCCTCTGATCCACCTGCCTTAGCCTCCCAAAGTGCTAAGATTACAGGCATGAGCCACCGCACCTGGCCTAATTTTTGTATTTTTAGTAGAAATGGGCTTTTGCCATGTTGGCCAGTCTGGTCTCCAACTCCTGGCCTCAAGCGATCCACCAGCCTCAGCCTCCCAAAGTGTTGGGATTACAGGCATGAGCCACTGCACTCGGCGTTTTGATGGTTTTGTGTTTTTTGGTATTTTATTAAATGAATTGTCCTTTTAGTGGTTTATCAGGTGATCTTGCCTTCTGGTGCTCTTGAAAAATATGCGAAGAAACAAATGAAGGGGGCATCTCCTATAATTAGTATGTAACATTTTATTCAGAGAAAATGTGTGGGAACCTGGCCTGGGATTCTGCCTTTTTACGAAGTGATACCTGAATAAAATGAACACAAGATTCTCACTTAGAGAGAAAGAACATTGCAATTGAGGCCATGGAAAAGTTTTAACTGCCGTACCTCTGTACTCCCTGACTTTCTCATGAATTAGAAATGTTTTCATTGTGTTGTTTTTTCGTAATAGTTTGAAGTCTGCTGTCACATGTTGTGAACTTCCATCTCTTGCAGTTTTTAGGTAAGGCAACACGTTTAATTAATTCGCATTTAAGTGAATTCCTTGCAGGGATGATGACCTCTGTTGAAATAGATCAGGGTGTGCAGGTTGTGGTGAAAGTACTGCTTGACTTTGCCCTAGCTCTTTGAGGCTGACCGTTAACAGATAAGGCGTATCACACTGGTTGCAAATGAATAAATAAATAACACTATGGGGTTTTCGAATGACCAAGGAGTGGACGGGTCGTGACATCGACTGGATATTTAGGGAAGGGCTCCTTCATGGTGTCAAAACTTAGGTCTGGGCAAAGTATATCAAGTGAAAAAAAGTTTAGACAAGAGTTTAGGGTTCAAGATAAATATTCTGCTTTATTGGCACTGGTCCTAAGCCTGTTGTGGTACTTTTTTAGGCACTGCTGTGGAAGTTTCGGTGGTGCATGGGTCTGACGAAGCCAGGAGAGATGGAAAGGGAAACGGTACGTGTGCTGCAGGCCACAGGGGCTCTTCCTTGTGCCTCACAACCACCTGTGTATGGCAGGTTCACATTCCCTATCAGGTTATCATCTTCATTCATTTCTACTTGTGAATGAAGGCTGGAGAGTAAGAAAAGCCAGTTGTTGCAAGAGAAACCACTTTACGATGAAATGGTCTCGCTAAAATCACCAATTAAAAAGTTAAGCCTCTGATCTACAAATAACCAAAACATACACACAAGGATAGTGCTTCTTGTTCCATGATTTACGTCATAGCTGACTCCTCATCAAATGAACAAGAATCTGCAAGAACAGAATACGGCGGGCAGGGTGCAGTCATTCCAAAGGTGGTCATCCTACCTCTTCATGAAGTATGTTGAATCCTCCAAGTATGTCCCATTGTGCTAAGTAGGCTTTAAGTCTTTAGCCTGTAGATTCGGTCTCAAAGTTTCTCCCTCAGAACAAACAGCATGCCATCCTGTAAATTACTTTTTTTTTTTTTTTTTTTTGAGACGGAGTTTCGCTCTTGTTACCCAGGCTGGAGTGCAATGGCGCGATCTCGGCTCACCGCAACCTCCGCCTCCTGGGTTCAGGCAATTCTCCTGCCTCAGCCTCCTGAGTAGCTGGGATTACAGGCACGCGCCACCACGCCCAGCTAATTTTTTGTATTTTTAGTAGAGATGGGGTTTCACCATGTTGACCAGGATGGTCTCGATCTCTCGACCTTGTGATCCACCCGCCTCGGCCTCCCAAAGTGCTGGGATTACAGGCTTGAGCCACCGCGCCTGGCTTACTTTTTTTTTTTTTTTCACTCAATTTCTTAAAATTTCTTTCAGTTGCTTTTCAGACCCCGGCAGCCAGATTCTGCCCTCATCTTTCCAATGACACTCTTCCAGCAGATTACTAAAGATCGATTTGTAGACCTGTCCATTTGGCCTCTCTCAAACTCAACACCATTGATGTGAAGTTGTTCTTACTGCCTCTCTGACCACTTAACATTGTACCTTAGACGTTAAAGGTCCTTACCATAATAGTTTTATTTTTAGCTCCCTTATAGTTTACATTTTGTCCTGAGTAATCTCAGCTACATGCATGGTCTTCAATATATGCTGATAATTCTCATTCTCGGAGCTCTTCTCACTTTGCTGGGCTCTTCAACTTGAATGTCTCATTTTCAGCTCATGCTCACGCTGTGCCTTTAGTTGCATTCGTTGTGGTGGTTCTTCCCACATTGTGGAAAGCCCCTTACCTAAATCCTATTCATTCCTAATGCTTAGCATAATTTCTTACTCTTGTTTCCATGGCACACTGTACCTCCGTTCTAGAGACTCCCTTCCTCTGAAGCATACGACAGGTTTGTTTGCTATCCAGAGCACAACACTCAGTTTCTGAGCTCCTCAGTGTTCATCCTTTTATGGCTGACCCTCACCATCAGAAGTGCTCGGCAAATGTGCAATTGGAAGGAATTGATTCCTACAGGTTGCACTTGTTCTCTCGCCAAGTTTTCTGGCTAAATTCTGGAATGATTTCCTTACCTGGGAGTCTGATCTGGGAAGAGCCTGGGACATGATGTAACTTCGTATGCTATAGAGCCGAATATTCATTTACTTAAGATCTTAACTTCGTTAGAAAGCAGTGTTGATTGAGAGGCCAGGCGCGGTGGCTTATGCCTGTAATCCCAGCACTTTGAGAGGCTGAGATGGGCAGATCACTTAAGGTCAGGAGTTCAAGACCTTTGGCCAACATGGCAAAACCCCATCTCTACTAAAAATAGAAAAATTGGGCATGGTGGTGTGTGCCTGTAATCCGAGCTACTTGGGAGGCTAAGGCAGAATTGCTGGAACCTGGGAGGCGGGGGTTACAGTGAGCCTGGATCACGCCACTGCACTCTGGCCTGGATGACTGTGTCTCAGAAAAAATAAAAGCAGTTTTGATTTAGAGCTAAGGTCACTTGATGCTCAGGCCAGTAATATTTTTCCCTCCATCATGCTATTGTCCAGGACAGAGATTGTAATGCTCTATTCTGGTGAAAAACTAAGCTTAAGACGCATAAAAGGTAAGAACATGTAGAGATGGGGAGTCCGTTCTCCATACGTTTTGTGAGTAGGGGTACTGGTGTTTTGTTCCCAACTATCCAATTGAGAATGTCTATAATGACAGCTTTGGAAGATAGAGACTATCTTCCTCTGGAGCATAGGACAGGTTTGTTTACTCTGTGAAATAATAAAAATAGTGTTTCCCTCTGAGGCAAAAGGTCAAGCCGGTTTGCTTGTGACCTCATTAAAGATTTGGGCTGTGATGCAAACCCACTGCATGTATAGCATCCACCTAGATCGCTGTGTGTCACTCCCATGGGATCTGGGGATGAAGCTCATGTTGCTTGCTGTGCTCTAAATAATTAAATCTGTGGTCTGACCCGGGAGTCTCATGCCTTCCGCCAGCATTCAGGAAACTAGTTTTCAAGAAGGGTAAAATCTTAAGACCTTTTACAGCTCCTGACACAGAGCAATACTGAGCAATAAAATCAGGTAGAAGTTATTTAATACAGCAGTTCATAATTAGGCCATGAGTCATCTCTGCAGAGAATTTCACCATGCTGCATTCTTGCTTTAAACCTTTCACCCTCTAAAACGAGACCCAAGAGCCATATTAGTCATGGTCCTCCTCCATGTATTTGCTCTAGGTAAACGGTTTCATAGCCTTCCAAGACCACACTGGCACAGTCAGTCATGTGATCTTCAAGCAGCAACGAAAGAAAGAGCTGGAGAAATTTGAGCCATGTGTCCTGAGCTCCGAAAGGCAGCCATCACCTTGGCCCCGAGCATACACCACGTTTGGCTCGCTCCCCTTGGCCAGGCACCATAGCTACTGTCCCTGTGACCAGCAGGCCCTCCAGGATGAAGACCTTTAAGGATCTAAGAGTACTGTGACTGTTAACTGCTAACATGATTCGTGTACGGTCACCTTGAAGTAAACCAGACTAGTTGTTTTCATGCTGTCTAATTCTAAGAGTTCGAAAATAGTGCCTTTTTTTGATGCCTCTTCTAGGGTATTAGCAGAGAAATCTCAACTTTTACCTTATACCTGAAGGGCAGCTCTTTGGCCTGGTAATGATTATACCGTGATCATACATGTTTTAAATCACAAACACTCCACCTCTTGATGAAAACTCGAGTCTGTGGTGTGGGTGTACATTCATTGCCTAAACCACCTTTGGCCAAAATAGCATACTCAGGAGAATTCCTTTAAACCATTTGTCTGCTTATACACAGCCAAAGGAATATTTGTTCCTATGGCTGATGTAATAAATTATCACAAATTTTGTGGCTGAAAAAACCAGAAATTTACTCACTTCCATTTTTGGAGGAGTCCAAATTCATGGGCCACAATGAAGGTGTTGGTGGAGCCGTGCTCTGCTGTAGGGCAGGGTCCACTCCTTGCCTTTTCCAGTTTCTGTAGCTGCCACTGTTCTTCGGCGTGTGGCCACGTCACTCCAGCCTCTGCCTCTGTGGCAACACCGCCACCTCCTCTTCTGTCTGAAACTTTCCTGTTACGCAGACACTTGGCACTGCATTTTAAGGTCACCGGATTATCTAGGATCATCTCCCCTTCTCAGATCCTTAATCGCATCTGCAGAGCCCATTTTTTGCCAACTCATGTTCACAGGCTGCAGGGATAAGGATGTGGCTATCTTTTGGGGAATCATTACTCATCCTATCAGTGTGGTAAAGCTTGCAAGTAAATTAAAATTTTCTCACTTTGTTCACAAATCAGTTTAGCAGAAGATGAGAATAGGACTAATTATCACCTGTATCCTCACAACCACTCCTAAGTTATTTCTTTATAAATACAAATCCCATACCGGACAGTTCTGGGTAATTATTATTCTATACTCTTAAGTTTCCTGGTTTGGTTAGATTATATTATCCTCCTGTTTAGAAAGTGTCTTACGGTAACAGTTGACTTCTACAAGAACCAAGTACCATTTAAACTACAATTTGAGTTCCCAGAGGGCAGAAAGTTCTGTTTGAACTGTTTTATAGCCAAAGTTGCTTTTTAATGTTTTTGGATGTATCTTTCTATTTAAAGAATAGATAGAAGAGCTTGAATGTAATATTTATTTGGTGAATTTACATGTGAGGTCATTTACAAAAGAAAGATACAGACAGATGCAGCTTTCAGTGCGGTTTGAAATAGTTTCACAACAGGCAGTAGTCCATGAGAATTTGGAATGACAGTATAGAACGGCACATGCTTCAGTTTCCTTTGTGTTTCTCTACCCAACCCCAAGGTGAAAGAAGGGAGAAGCGTAGAAAATGTCAGTGTTCACGTAAATACAGCCATGCAAATAAAAACTTCCGCAAAGCCAGAGGTCACTCAGAGATGTCGGACATTTCTGTATTTGGGGGTTATCAGAAGGTGCATAATTTAAAAACAAAATGCAGAGGTCTCAAACTTTCCATCATCCAAATCATCTTGAATTATGTTAACTGCACCAACTAATTAGTGGCCTCCTCAGTATTTTCCAAAGATGGACTTTGAAAGGGACTCATTTCTAAAGCACTTGTAGACAAATCTTTTTGGTTTCAACAGAATTAAGCACCCTTAAGAGGTGTAAAAATGCTCCTTTTCTCCCAACAATGTAAACCATAATAATATTTTTAAAATAAACCTCTCCCCATCCTGAGTATTTCAAAACAAAAGACCCATGAAGAACACAACCCTTCCCTCACCAGAAGAATCTAGCATATAAGCAAAGGATGGTCTACAAAAGTGGAAATCGGAAATAAATCTTAAAGCGACTTCGAAGGAAGGAGGTGGAGTAAAGATAAAACACTGCTGTCAGCATCCCTAGTGAAGACCTGGGCCTGGGTGGTTCGTCCTTAGAGATCAAGGTTAGCGCATTACAAAAAAAGCACTCTACATGTCCTCAGCATCCTCGAAAGTGAGTGACTCAAAGTTCCTTAAGCACATGTAGCCATAGTTAAAGCACTAAACTTGTTATTTCAGGAAATACTATGTTCTGGCTCCAAGTCTTACATCCTTTTTGAACCTTTAGCCACATTTTCTTCACTAGAAACTTGAAGCTATTTAAATACTCCCATATATCACACTTACTCTACCTTTATTTAGGTAACACATACAAGCAACCTGCACTTTGATTTTAAAAAAGTTCTAAAAGTTTTTAGAGATGGGGTCTTGCTATATTGCCCAGGCTGGAGTGCAGTGGCTACTCGCAGGTGCGAACATCACGGCACACTACACCCTCGAGCTCCTGGTATCAAGCCTCTTGCCTCGGCCTCCCAAGTAGCTGAGACTATAAAAAGGTACATGCCGTTGCACCTACTATCCTGCACTTTTAAAAGCACACCATTAAATAGCACTAATTATTATAGAAAATAGTCACAGACAATTATACACACACTTCTGTTTCCTCTTACCTCTTTGCCTGGTCCACTCCCCCATCAATACTCAGTCTTCCAGCACAAATATAAATTAGAATATTTTGCATCTGCATAATTTACTGTAAGAAAATCTGCTGTTGTGGACTTTGAGAAGAATGTACATCATCCATTAGAGCGGAAAGGGGTCAAGAGGATTAACAGGAGCCACTAACTTTCTAAAAGTGCAAAATCAGAGGCATTGTGCATGCTAATCATGGTTTAAAGGGTCTCTCAATTTTACTTTAATCCCCATTTAACCTTTGTTTCTTTCCAAAAAATCAACTGAAAGCACTTAATTGAATATAGATCTATTTTACAGCATTTACTCTGTTAATCTAAAAACCAGCATGCTGTAAAATACTTATATTATTCACACCTATATATAAAGGCAAAATCATCCAGAACATAATCAATTCCCAACCCCCAGTGAAAAAAAAAAAAGAAAAAAAAAAAAAAACAAATCAGAGTTTTTATTTGCATGGCCAATGATCATTTGTACTCTCTGCAACTTTATTTTAATATCCCTTGAACAGGTTCTCATCTTTTGTTGCACAGGCAGTAAAAGCTGCAAGACTGCAAACTTCCTTCTGCAGCCACCCCCACGACACCTAGACATGAAACGGATGTAACACATAACAGTACCACAAACAAATACTAATTTCCACCATTCAACACAGTTCATGACAGTGTCTTTAGGGTTCGGTTGAAGAGGGGGTAAACTTTTAAAAAGAGGGTCAGTCTGCTTTCCCCCGTTTTATAATGTTGGTGGTTTTAATCCGTATTTCTTTGCAACTTCTATCTGGGCATGAGCGGCATCACAAAGTGAATACAGATGGGCCATCTCCATTTCCGACTTGGCCAGGTTAATAGCTTTGTTGAACATGTCAATGGCTTTCTCCATGTTTCCTCTGAAAGAAGAAAATTTTTAAGTCTCAGATTCAACCAGCACTTCACAATATTCAATGACATTTGTAAGTGATGCTGCATTAAGTCTGACCACTTTCTACTATGATTCTAGTAAAATGCTTCTTTTATAATAAATAAGAGTACCTACCACATTGAAAGCACTCAATGTTAACTATTACTACAAATACCATGTGCTTACATTATATCCCTTGTATTCTGTGTTTACTGATAAGAACAGTGAGACTAAGGAAATTAATTGGCTTATTGAAAATCGTCATTCTGCCTGGTTCCTAAGTTCTGCACGTTTCTACTGTTAACATGAGGCTCCTCTGGAAAGTAGTGACATAATCTCGGGACACTAATGACATGCAAGGGCCTCACCTTCACAGACTAATGTGGGCCCACTTCTTTCCAGCTCAGTCTCTCATCAGCCCGTCCCAACCCCATGCACCGCCACTCATCACGAAGTCTGTGTCAGTTCCTTGATTGTTCTACACACTCATACCTGCATGTAACACTCAGATTTACTGCCTCTGCCTGATTCCGGTCAAATCCACAGCTATCTAAGGCCTAGTTCAAATATAGTATCCTTGTGAAAAATATTTCCCCCTCACCCTCTCCAGGGGAACTAGCTGTTCTGTCCCCAACATTCCCACAGTTTTATTGTCATTCTATGCACAGTCAGATGAAATGTGTATTTGTTTACAAACATACAATCTTACTAGCTCCTTGATGGACATACTTCAATTCACAGAACCTACTATAATGGCTGGTAATTATCTGTTTTTGAATAAAGTAGATATGCTTGTTAAGATATAATTTAAGACTTACAGTCGAAGTGTGGCTAGGCTTTATATAGTTACCAAGAACCAAATGTCTTAAATAACTAGTATTAGCTACATACATATACCATCATACGCAGAAATATTAAGTCCCTACTAATATATATATGTACGTGTATATATACGTATAGTGGCATATATAGAGAGTCTAACTGGCATACATGTTAGTAAGGTACATCTCACTGGCACATATGACAGACTCTATATATACGTCAATAAGAGGTACCCTTAGGGTGACTATATTTAACCCCTATTACACTATGTAGCAATGTGATAGACTTATTTAAAAAAACATAAAAAAAACTTTTTTCAAGAGTTCATGTTCTGTCATTAGGCCAACAGCTAGCAGATCTCCAAAATTCTAGGATAATCTGTAATATCATTTATTCAAATTCACTTATTTAATTGTAAGGTAAGGTTCAGAATGGACTTCTTAAAAGTTCAATTAACATGTGAACAAAATTCCATCAAACCCTAAATCAGAGGTCTATGATTAACCCAGGATCTATGAAAAGCCTTAAATTAAAAGCAAAATGTTTTTGTATGTGCATTATTATTATTATTATTTTTTGAGACGGAGTTTCGCTCTTGTTACCCAGGCTGGAGTGCAATGGCACGATCTCGGCTCACCGCAACCTCCGCCTCCTGGGTTCAGGCAATTCTCCTGCCTCAGCCTCCTGAGTAGCTGGGATTACAGGCACGCGCCACCATGCCCAGCTAATGTTTTGTATTTTTAGTAGAGACGGGGTTTCACCATGTTGACCAGGATGGTCTCGATCTCTTGACCTCGTGATCCACCCGCCTCGGCCTC